TTCAGAGTGTGGAGGGTCGTCGAGACAAGTGAAAGATCTAAACATTTTTTCGTAATGCTTAAATTTCTCAACAAGCGCCGACAGATCCTTCCCGATCTCAGAAAAACCATTTCTGGACTGCCTGAAGAATTTAAATAAATCAACTTCGGTTGATCTACATTTTTGACAAGACCAACGAAGACCCTTACCCTCGTTAATAGCGTCTAATACTCTACCGCTCAAACCAGCACATTTTATATGGGCAATCCCATCGCAGAGCCAGCATGGCACATAGGAGTCGCTTTTAACGTGGCAATTGGTGTAAATACACGACATGTTTAAAATTATATTTATTTTTAGGTTTTAGAAGCAAAAACAGTTTTGAAAACGATGTATTAATCAGTGAACCAATCAGCTGGTAAATATCAGTTAGCGAACAGTTTTAAATGAAATATGTCTAGATATATCTACTAAGAAATAACTACGCATTCAAAATCCGATATAGTTGTGAAATTTTATCGACAGTATGTATATTTATTTATATCGATAAATTTATCGCTCGCTATCTGTTATCTTTGCTCTCTATAATACTTTAAATTTACTGATGTTAATGGCTTAATATATCAAGGGCTTATATTTAATACCCTCTATCTGCGTTTTTCAGACGTTGACAGAAGAATTTACTGTTATATTGCAAAATCAGTCAGTGATGACAGATAAGTCCCAGATGGGTTCTAACATCATAAAGTAGTTTTTGTGAAAATTGCAGATAGAGGGTATTGAATATAAGCCCTCTATATCTTGCAATGCTAATTGGTAGCAAAGCATAATTTTACTCTTCCTAATCCGAAGAAGTTACACATCAAAAGACACCCAATTCACATACCAAAAGTAATGAAATTTGCGAATTCAGTGAGCTGACAATTGTATTCAGCGCATGACAGGGCACGCTTGGCTCCAGTGAGTTGGCGTGCTGTATGCGATTCGGTCCGCAGTGCAAAGGAAGATTGGTACTCGCGTTGATGGTTGCGGCACTTGTGGCCAAAGTGGTTAAGCTCATTGTCATTGATGATGTCTGTGTGGAGTTATCAACCATGGCTAGTGCGTTTTTCAGCTTGCTGCTCAGCGTCGACTGTGTAAAGGAAACATAAAATAAAAAAGTGAGATTTACTTCTGTAAAGTTTTTATTGAAAATTGCAATGTCATACCAATGTTTCATAGGCGTCATTGACTTCCATGTGCTCGTTGGCGGCTTTGTTTTTGCCTGCGACTGCGCTTGGTCCTGTTGTAGATGCATCAATTTCTGTTGGCTTTGCTGACGCGTCTGCTACTAGTGCTCCCGTTTCTTGTCCGCCGCCCACAGCAGCGGCATCCGCCGTAGTTGGCTTGTCATCTGTATGCTCAGCGCTCTGTTCACTACTTTGCGGCTCTGCGGCGTCAGTGGAAGCTTTCTCTGCTAAATCGCTTGTGACTGTTGGGGTTATGTTTTTTGTTTGCTCTGCTGGTTTACATTCGCTTGCTTCCTTCTTTTCACGGATACTTGTTCTCTCCTCATTAACTTCAAGCTTAACCTTTAACTGTTCCGTCTCCTCCTTTTCTTCCTTTTGTGTCTGTTCGACTTCGGAATCTATCGCATTCGCAACTTCTTTTTCGCTTTTTACTGTCTCCACCTCGCCGCTTGCTGGCGCGCTCACTTTATCTTCGCTCAGTGCTTGGGTTACCTCATCGGCAGATTCTTCAGGAATGCTATCAGCACTTATTGTGCTTTGCCGTTTCACCAGCTCAGCTGCGTTCGTTTGCACCACAGTTGTTGAATTGTTTTCCTCTGGAAGCATCGTGTTTGCTGTCGCCGCATTGGAAGCGCTTTTCTCCTCCGCCTGCTGCTGCTGGGTTGTTGCTGGCGGTGGTGGCAATAGCGGTGCTTTCAAAACGCCAACCGGTGGTGGCAAAGGTGGCGGAGGCGAAGAAACTTTGGCTGCCTTTGAAGCGAGCGTTGGCGGCAATGCCGGCAACCGCAGTTCGTCAATCTCGCAATAGCCGTCGTCGTCTTCGTGTATGTCCTCGTCCATCAACGCGTTTTGCAGCACTGTGCGCGCGCTGGTAGGCGTTTTTGCGGTGGGTGTTTGCTGTTGAGCGATCTGCTTATTTGGTGGTGGTAGCGGTGGCGGTATGTCCGCTAATGAAGGCGCAGCTGCAGTTGCGGCGCCACTCGTCGCTGCTATTTGTGTTGTAGTCGAAGAGCCAGTGGAATTCATTGTTGACGTTGACGACGAGTTCGATGAGGCTGCTGTGAGCGGCGTCAGCGGTCGCTGGCTGTGGTGATGATGATGATGTTGTTGCTGTTGCTTTTCATGGCATTGATCGCAAACGGCCGTGGACACGGCAGATATTTCTTGTTCGTGCGTCACATGCATATACTCATTGAGAACCTCGGTTAGTGATTGCACCTGTGCATACGCTGCCAACGCAATGTCGGCGCTGTCTTTGGGCGCTTCTGGCATTGCCGCAATGTCGACGATCTCATGGAAGTGCTCCACCGGCAACCTGAACATATCACAAATGATTTTCTGCTTCTCCAAAAGGCCTTCGCGTATAGAGGCGTCAAGGCGGCGGAGTCGTTCGGCCGGTGTGAGTACCGGCTCAGCGGTATGTGCTGGACTAATGCTGATCTGTATGGCGGTGGGCTCGACCAGTGGCGGAGACGATTGCATTAGCGTGCGCGTATTGTTCGAGTTATTTGAGTACACAATGCTGGCGCTGTCGCGTTTTGAGCCGCTGCTGATGCTTGCGCCGCTGACGCTCGACCCAAACTCATCCACGCCGGCGCCCGCATTGTGACCGTTTGCCTGGCGGGCGGATTGTGTGTGACGAAGTGTCACGCTTGAGTTCTCGTATCCGTCGTTGTTGTTGTTGGGTTCACCGCAGCTGCGTGTCGACATTGTGCGGTTAACCGCAGACGACAGCGACGCTGTGGAGGCGGATGACATGGCGGCCGATGATGAACCGATCGAAGGTGACAGTTCGTTGTGGCTGAGCCGCATTTTGTGGTCGACGCTGCCAGGCGTCGGAGTGCTCTCACGGCGCCCATTTCGCAGTTGCACATTGTGGGGGTCGTTACTGTTGTTATTATTGTTATTGACATTGACCGAAGTCGCGGTGGCGACTGGCATCATCGGCGCCAGCGGTGTGGTTGTCACCGTGGCTATAGCCGAGGCGGGCGGTGGGCGCTCCGGTGTGAGTTCAAGCGACTCCTTTGTATTGGAATGCGGTAAAGTGGCGATCGCTGGATCGTCAACTGGCTCATGATTGGCGTTCTTCGAACGTGGTTTGTACTGTTCAGCGGCATCGGAAATGTGCTTGAACCACCTGTAAGGTAATTAGAACAATAAAATGTTGGTGAGTATACATAAAAATGAATAAAGTGCATATTAATGGTTGAGGTAGAGCAGTTCAAAAGTAGAAAGAGCTGTGTTTGCCTCGAGACTCTCTATGCTGAGTTTATAAACCACGATTTGATACTTTTTCATAACCAAAAGGACCTTATTTACATATGTTCATACTAACTAAATAAATATATACATACATATGTAGAATAAATTCTTACACAAAAATGTTTAAATTTTTTTCGCACTACCTTGACACCAACGACGCACGTCGACCTCCGCTCGTGCCATTGGCGTTGCTGCCGCTATTGGCGGTGGCCTCATTGAAGCTGCCACGTCGGCGTTCCTTTTTGCTTTGGCCTTTGCTCGGCGTCACATTGAGGCTATTGTTGTCGCCGGTGTTGTGATTGCTGCTGTTTTTACCGCTGGATAGTTGTAGTAGTGAACCATTGCAAAGGCTCTTGCGTCGCACACCACTGAATATATCATCGGGCGAGAGGAAATTCATGGTTCACTTGAGTTGGATCTGGTTATTTAACGGCCTCTAGCGCGTGGTTTTGCCGGAAATTGGTGATTTTGCCCACAGGCATGTGTTGCAAGAAAAACAAATATTGAACCCGCCAAACAACCGGGGGCGAAAAAATGTACAGCAAATGCTGCGCTGCTCACTTTAAAACACTTTGAATGTCGACCATCATTTAAGGTGCTTACATTTTTTTTAGATACATTTCTTTTGCTGACGATTATTTTATAACGAATTTGATTCACTTCGATTAAATTTCTGGTAGAAATATTTTTATTTGATTCTAATTCGTATAAAATTAAAAAAATTGCAAGCATTTTTAATTTTCGAAAAAAATAGTTTTTGGTACAGACAGACCTCTGCGCCACCCCCACTCCACGTTTAAGTAAATAACCTTCAAATCTTTGACACAAAAATTTATACGCGTATTGAGTCGTTTTATGGTATAATTTCACCTTTTTCGACTAATACTGGATTTCAATTAGGTATTAAATGGCAAAAAGTGTAATAGTAAAGTTAGACATTAAAAAATATTCGTGTCATTACGTTATAAAAATTGCCATTAAGTTCATTTCCACATGGCATGTTTTAAATATCACCAAGTTGTTGTCACTTCAGTGCATAGTAGAAATTCGGCCTTATAATAAAACATTTTTTTTTGGAATTTTTTTAACAGACTTCAAATAAGGAGAAAAGTCATCAGGTGGATCATGCGAACTGTTTTCTTGTTTTTATCAGAAAGGTGGTATCTCAAGGGTGGTCCCATACTAAATTGGTTTAGTTCGGACCATTGTGTCATGAAGAAATTAACGGTACTGCCAAATTTTTATATGAGCACTGAAGTCGGTTGTATTTTTTGCTTAAAAATTACTTTTTAAATATCCCTTTAAATTGCTCGCAGATACACCTCCTCATCGAAATTCATAGCCAAATGTCAAAAGGTAGATCTCTCTGAACACTTTCTGAATTGGTGTTTGCTTCTCCTGTATCTATTTTTCATTTCTGTAGAGGTTTCTTGATTAGCACTGTGACCGCCTAAATAAGTTTGGTCGGGTTCAATAAATCCTGCCAATCATTTCTTTTTCCAGTGAGTTTCGAAAGCAGTATTTAATTTCCGAAAGTCGAACTTTCTGATACTACGTTTTGTCTGTTTAGCTGGTGAATGAAGAAAATTCTACTTACAACTGTGTTACCACACACTTTTATGCTTATAAAAAAATGAATAGCCCACCAAAATATTTCGGAAAAATATTAAGGTTTACGTGAGCTGGACCGATTTGAAAATACCTCCAAATATGGAGGGTTTTTTTTTATAATTAAAAATAGTTTCTTAAAGATTTTTTTTAAGTCCCCTCAAATGACCAAACTATTTAAGCTTAAAAAACTTGCATAAAAATACTTTAAAAAATTTTAAAAGAATTTTGAACGGAGTCGTAATAATAAAATTTTTTATGCTGTCTTTATTTTTTCAGAGATTGGTATAAGACAAAGTTCAATAACTTAACCTTAACTCTTCCGATTAATGCTTGTGAGGTGTTATTGGAAAGGTATTTTCTCACCCTCTTTATTTCTTTGCTAAAAACAGTGGGAAAATACCTTTCCACTGAGGTCCCATAAGTCTAAATCAGAATAGTTTTGGCCCAGTTATTCAAGATTTTCGTAAATCAATCTTTGAAACAAGAAAAAAAACAGCAACAAAAATCTCATTATTACAATTCCGTTGAAAATATTTTTATGCAGATTCTTTAAGCTTAATCTGTTTTGCCATCTGAGGGAAACTTTTTTATTCATAAAAAACTCCATTTTTGGAGGTATTTTCAAATCGGTCCAGCTCACTTAAATCTTAATATTTTTCCGAAATATTTTGGTGGACGTCTTAAAATATAATAAGTTTTGTAATTCCGGCGGGAAATGTACATGCATCCACAAAAAACAAATAAAAATCGCTACAAATGTAACAATAAATGAAACAGACGGAAATTTTCTTTGTCAGCTACCAAACAAATATGTAAATGAAAACAAGAAATCAAATATTTATGAAGTTACATAATTTTCGGATGCATACACATACATACATATGTGCAATATGTATATGTACAAGAATATGTAGTTGCCATATTGTGTTGTAAGTATACGCATGTACTTCGCGAAGTAATAAAAGTGTAAAGTACATTCATACAAATGTACATATCTACAAACCCATGTATGTATGTATATTTTTTTAATTTTCGTTTTGATGCTGAAATATATGTACATGTCTAAATGTTCTAGTAGTATTTCTGCATCAAAAGGAAAATTTTTGAAAAAAATATCGCTTAGGTACGTTTTTCTCGTTTTTATGGCTCGATATGTTTAATTGACGCTGCGTGCGTCGCACTTCGACCCAACAACGCAAATGGCTTGAATGATATTTTATTTACGCGAATATCGATTTATGAAGAGATTCAATAAAAAAATAAAAACAGGTAGAATCAATAAATATGTAAAAAATTGTCCCACGCTATGTGATTATCTTTCTTTTTTGTCAACGTATCACTTGTTTGTGCGATTTTGTATGGGAATTATGAATGCATAAAATAATAATTAAACGCATCGTCGATTATGCGATGGCTTTAATGCAATTTCTTAATTCATTCATTCATTTACGCATTGACTAAACGCGATATCGCAGTTCAATGGACGCATTTATCTATGCCACGGATTTTTCTTTCACCAGTAGCAGCAGCAGCGGGAAGCGCGGATGGTTGCGGTTGGCAGCGAGAGATGAGCAACAGCTGCAACAGCCGCAGCGCTATTTAATAACTTTGCACAAATTTGATTTAAATGGTTTTCAATGTTTCAATGTGAATGTGCCCATTATTTGCAGGAAATTGGAATTCGTTGTTTCATTTGTGGTTATCACAAGAACGAGTTTTTGCAATAGATGCGGTCTACTCGCATATATGTACCTACATATGTATGTATCTATGTGTGCACATTTGAACTCTGGAATTGGCCTTTGTTTTTGACTTTGATACGGTAAAATTTAACGAATACGAACACATCAATTAGAATGATTCCATCGAAATGCATTGCTGTTCGTTTTTTAATTAAGAATGCATCCATACAAAAGCGGTGTCGATAAGATATCCGATATATACTTCGATAAATAATATCATCAAATACATATGCCGATAAATACGTGGATAAAACATGACAACAATAAATTGTCTATAAAAATTAAAAAAATGGTGTTTTCAATGGTTTAATTTAACGATAACCATTTAACCGTAACAAATTGGTCAGATCTGGCAACACTATTATAAAAATGCTCAGTCCGGTTTATCATATTTGCCTTTAAATGGATAACGCCTGTAACGCTTGCAAATTCTTCTAATTTATTTTGAAGATCTTGGTTCGCTTCAGGAATGTTACCGTGCTCAGAGATGGGGACCTGGTCGTCGTTAAAGAGGAAAACCTGCCCTCAAACGAATGGAGACTGGGGAGAATCGTCAAGCTACACCCAGGTTCCGACAACCGAGTTAGAGTAGTCGACGTCGAGGCAGCTAAGGGAGAAATCAGAAGACCAATTGCAAAATTGGTCCTACTTCCGCAAAAAAAATTTATTCCATGTATTTTAGACGAGAAAAACCTTTTTTTTGGTCGTAGAAATGGTATAGAATTTTTGAGAATCAATGTTTTTCGATCTGAAGTGATTTTTTGTTGTGGTTTCGATTATTAATTTCAAATAGTCATATAAACAAAATATAAAATAAAAATTATACAAAAAAGGCAAACTCATTACCGGTTGCGTAGTCAACTAAATGCTGACTTTGTCACAGCCAAAAGAGTGTTAATTGAATTTCATTGGCTTAAATTGCATTTTATTTACATACTATGCCATGTTGCCAGATTCACAGATTTAACTGTAAATTACAGTTTTTGTGACATTTCCGAATTGAACGAATAATTAGAAATTTCTCTTTTGGTTTTATTTGTAACTAAATTTTTGAGATAAAAAAGGGACGACACACCAAATGTGGAAAGCATATTTTCCCAAATCAATTTGAATAAAGCAATAAATAAACCAGAAATTCCAGCACTCTTTCGTGTTACAAGAGCTAAAGATTTCTTAAAAAAAAAAATGATTCAGTAGGTAAGGTACTAAATTTGAGGTATCGAATCCAATGGTCAAAAAAATTAACAAAGCAAAAACTGAATTTTATTAAAACAAAATGTGATTTAAATGTTACATTTAATAGAGCAATTTTTTAGTTGAGTATAATTTAAAATGTTTATATTATATTAAATGAATCATTTTTTGTTATTTATGTTAAATAAAATAATAAAATATTAATTTTTTAAAACTCTCTTCGTTTGTGAGGGTTACAGTTTCTTTCTGGAAATTTCCAACTATTAGAAAAGAAACCTGGCAACACTAATACTATCACTGTACACATTCATATTTTACATATATGCCA